TTAACAATTGAGGGTGTGTGTAAACTAGAGACATCATTACCAAATCACTGTGCATGGGTGAGCCACAGCTAAAAAGAACCCATGGGTGTTTGTTGTTGCTATTGTTGCTTTCCTGCTTTGTTTTCAGACAAGATTTCCCTGTGTAGCCCTGACTGTCCTGAAACTCCCTTTATAGACCAGGCTGACCTTGAACTGAGATCCACCTACCTGCCTCTGCTGGGCAAGTACTGATATTAAAGATGTGTGCCTCTACACTATCAGATAAGAACCTACTGTTTTGTTTTAATTACTTCATCCTTGAATATAACATATCAAAACCTCTCTCTAGAGGTCCAAGAAAAGAATCCAGGGTAAAAGCCTGGGTTCAGTACCCAGCAAAGAAGGAAGAGGACATGGGGGGGGGGGAATTATCACTAATTTAGAAGAAACAAAGGAGGATTATCAATTGCCTACATCCAGAAAAACAAAAGAAGCCAGACGTTCCATTACACTAGTGATGAAAAGGCTATCCAAAAAGGCATCTGGAGACAGAAACCAAGTCACAACACACACTGGATTTCTCAAAATTAGCCCTAGAAGCTGAAAAAACAGGCAATAATTTGTTACCAGTAGGTTTTCCCTGCCAGCCTGGTCCCACCGTCACGCCAGCCCCAATTAACACACAGAGACTCTGTATTTGATACTATGCTGTTGGCCAGTTACTTGCTTCTCATTGTCTAGCTCTGTCTTAAGTATTAAGCCATTTCTATTAATCTAAGTATTTCCACGTGGTCTCATCTTACCGGAGAGAGGGGGCCGGCGGTTCTGTTCTCTCCAATCTCTCCATGTTGACTCCTCCCTACTACTTCCTTGAATCCTCCTTGTCTCCTAGTCCTGCCTACCTTGCTTTCCTATTGGCCAACAGTGCTTTATTCATTAACCAGTATGAGAAACATATTTACAGAATGACATCTCCCATCAATAATTTTTAAAAGTCTAGACAAAAAAAAAAAAAAATTTGCAACTTCAGATTACTCAGAGTATTGGTCAAATATCAGGACTGAAAATCAGAAGACTTTTTAACCATGTAGCTCAAGATATTCTTTGTCATGTACCTTTTCTTAGAAATTTCCCTCCCACAAATGAAGAATATATGAGAAAGATGGTGACACAAGATCCAGGACCAGTCAGTGGAGTGTAGGACAGGGCAGCAGAGAAAGCACACCTCAGTGTGTGAGATGGCAGCTGCTGAGAAGGGAGGGGCCTCTAGGAAGGGGTGGGAACAAGCAATGGACTGGACATGTGAGAGAGATTTCTCATGACTGTATAGATTCTGGAGGCTGGAGGAAAGAATAAATAACAACAGGTACATACAGAGAACAAAACACTAGGGGCTAGGGACAGAGCTCACTCGCCTAGCATGTCCAGGAACCTGGGTTATATCCACAGCAAGGAAATGAAAATGGTGGATAAACTTACAAGGTAATTGCTAAGTTGTGGGAGCCCACAGAGACTCGGTTCCATCTTGACTTAAGGTCAGAGAGTTCAAACCTACCCTTGCTCCTCAGGGTCAAATAACAGGATGTTTGGCCAAAGGCATAGCTACTTGATGTTTTGAGAGTTAAGGAGGTAATTATGCTTGTTTGTTCCTTGTATCATAGCAAGGAAGTCTTTTGCCCTTCCCCTTTGCTTTGGGGATAAAAGGGGTATGAGAAATAAATTCGAGGTGTCTACAATATTCCCTGAGAGCCCTCCCGACACTTCTGTCTTTCATCTCTTTGTTTTCTCAATTCTCACTCCTTTTCAGGAATATTCGACATGTCCCCTGGTCCCCACACTAAGTTCAAGCAAATTGAAACTATATAAGTAGCCAGAGTATAATGTTGGTCCAGCAGGGAATATTTACATAGTCTAAATATAAACCTTGAAAATTAATTTGGCCAAAAAATTATTATAAATGATAAGCAGAGAAAACAAAACCATCTCAGCCAATAACTATCTAAATTACAGGTGTAGCAGGTGTAGCAATGAAGGTTATCAAGACATGAGACCTTGGTGGGGGAAAGTATTTGGAAATAAGTATCAGCCACTGTGGACAGAAAGCACCGAGGTATATAAAAACCCAAAGTGCTTCTCAGGGAGAAACCTCAATTATACAGAAGTTAGCAACTAGTAAGTGAACACCCATTCAGTAATATGGAAGCCATTATTTTACCCATCTTGACAAAGGGCAGCTTCAGTTGAATAGTACTCGCAGAAAACACTTTAGAATGAATGGAAAAGCAGAAGCAATTAATATATAAGAAGGGAAACCTCCCTAGGAACCTGAAATTAAAAATTGGAATTCACTGAGTGAAACAGCTCATCAGTGTTCTCCAGCAAACTCAGATTCTGATCCCGTGTCTAGTGGGCACTAAAGAGAAAGGTGGCTGAACTGAATGAGAGCAGAAAAAGGACAGCCAGCCCATAGGGTACAGGCTGGTAATTTGAACTCTCTGTCCTAGTTTAACAAAATCTCCTAAATAAGACCCCTTCCCCACCCAACCCCCCAAAAAAAAGTGTTGGTAAGAAAGAAAAATAATGTTTATATGTTTTTGGGGTTTTTTTTTTCTTGGAAATTTTTCAGAACATTAACCAGGTTCTCAAATGGGCCAATGCCATCAGAGAGGTAAGAATTACTTTAAGGGAATATGCCTAAACTATGTAGCTACCTCCTACTCCTTCAGCAAGGGCTGGAGACAGGTATGTGTTACAGACTGAACTGTGTCCCTTCCCCTGCCAAATTCACATGTCCTAGTTCCCAATGTGACTCTGTCTGGAAAGTAAATAAGGTCATAAGGGCCAGGGCCCAGATCCAAAGACTGGTATATCAGGTACATACAGTGAGACCCTGTGAAAGTACCAGGAAAAGATGGCCATCCCCATGCCAAGAAGAAATGTTCTTAAAGCCCTTCAAGCCTCCAGGACTATGAGAGAGAAATTTCTATAGAGTAAGTGAGCCAGTCTATGGTATTCTACAATATAGCCCAGCAAACTAACATGGCACCCCAGGTCCCAAGCAAGTCTGGCCTGCCCCCTCCCTCTCCTCTTCAACCTTCAGCCACATTCTAGTCCAAACAAAAGGCCGCCTGCCCTGTCATTAGTTAACGAACAAGGTAGTTTGGACTACTTTATAAAGCTATTAGTTTTAAAGTATCTTTCCTTACCTCTCATCCATTGGGTTTCCTGAAGCTAAAGACAAGGCCTGTTTAGTAAAGCTGGTGGTGGTGGCAAGACATGGTAGCACACGCCTTTAATCCCAGCATTTGGGGGGACAGCAGAGGCAGGTGATCTCCTGCCAGTCTAGTGTACACAGGGAGTTCCAGGTTCCAGGATGGTTATACAGACAAACCGTTTCAAAAAAAAAAAAAAAAAAAAAAAAAGGAAGCAGACTGATAGCGGCCACTGAAAGATGAGAAATCCATCAGGAATTAAAATGTCTCGGAGCAAGTTGGGCACGTGTTCTACACAAGATGTAGTATGCAAGATGTAGTATGGTTTGTATGTAACATTCTCATGCCAAGTAAAAAGGGTAACATATACCTTCATCCAACTAACACTCAAGGATTTGTTTATTCTTATTTCAAGAACCTTGAACTGCAGGCATAGCTTGCCTAGCCTGCTGGAACCCTGGAGTTTCATCCCTAGCATTGAATAAACTGGATGTAGCGCTCTGTGGATCATCAACTCAAGGTCGTCCTCTGCCACACAGCAAGTTCAGTGTCAATCTAGTTTACCTGACACCCCCATCTCAGACCCCCAAAAACAAAACATCTTAGACTCGGCAATTAATGAAAGCACCTGTTCACACATCAGAAAAATAAGAGTGACTATTTCATTGTTTGACATCATGAGAAAAGAAATACTGGGCCAGATGTGGTACACATCTTTAATCCTACCACTTGGGAGGCTGGGGAAGTTGGATCTCTCTGAGTTCCAGACCAGCCTGATCTACATGGTGAACTCCAGGCCAACCAATGTTACATAGTGAGGACCTGTTTTACCAAAAAAAAAAAAAAAAAAAAAAAAAAAAAGTAGACTTTTAGCTCTAGTGTCACTAGAAATACTCAAAAATTTTTGGGTTGGAGATGAGCACAACAGTTCACCACGAGTTTTAGCATATGTATGGTCCTTGGTTCACAATCAGCATCGATAACAAAAATTAAATACATATATCTAAATACAAGTCCGTACATGTCTCTTCCAATTACAGTCACTGGACTGGGCATTAATCTCTACGATATTTATAAAATTGTAACCAAATACTCCATCACGTCAAACCCATACTTTGGTCTTGTAAATAGCAGTGCTCGCTGGCATCTATCTGAAATACTTTCCAGATTCTCGGCCTCTTTGCTGAGACCTGTGGTATCAGCTACTGTGCATAACGAAACATGCCTTGAGAACAGTTTAACGTCCTCTCATTCTGAGGGGGAAAATACAGCAAACCAAACAGCACCATTAGAGCAGAACCAAGAATTAGGTTACCGGACCCTGTATGTTTATTAGTGTCTTTAGGCACTGCCTGGCATCACATCTGCTCGGAATTTGGTTAACGCCTGAACTCGAAGTAAACAAACAACTTCACGTGCACTGGGAACCCAAGCGTGCTCCAACCCCTGGTTTAAATGAAGGTGGTGAAATCTCTCACCAGGCTCAGGGTTTCCAAATAAAAAGATAAAACCGATCACTTCTCCTTCGATTACAGGCCACGGAGAAAATCTGCGGAGACAGTGACATTAATGGCAATCAAGGACAAACCTGTCCGGGAAGCAGGAACGTGCTTCTACCTAGAGTCAGGATGCCAGTCCTGAATGCTGAGCTTTCCTCCGTGATGATGGCCCCGAGATCTGCACTGAGCAGAAGGCGTGGCTCCTTTCAGCTCGATCTTGGGGGGCTAGGTGACCACCGAGAGCTCCAAGACACTTGTCCACGCACGCTTTCTCGACCCCTCCCCCGCAAGACGCTGCCCCCACACTCACCGCACACCATCAGCAGCAGGACGATCAGCAGCGTGGCCACGAACACCAGCAGGGTCAGCCCCACGTTGTGCCACATCGTGAGAGCCGGAGGGTGGGCAGGGGCTCAGCGGCGGGCGGCAGAGCGGCTGGGCGGCATGGGCGGCAGGCGCCCGAGGGCAGCGCCCCCAGGGGGCGGGACTGGGCGGCGCGGGGGCGGACCGCGGCGGGGACGGCCCGCAGACCAGCCCCCCGGCCGGCCGGAGCGACCGAGTCGCGGGAGGAGCGGGCCGCGAGGCGCCACTACCGCCTCATCGCTCCGGGAAGCCGGAGCCACGGCGTGCAGAAGCCGGCGGCGAACGGACGCGCTGCCATGGCGGACACCGAAGGGGAAAGCGTGAGCTGGAGGTGGCTGGGTGGCCGCAGGGCCCTAGCTGCGGCTAGCGCGAGGTCCTCTCGCCCTCGGAGACGCCAGATGTCAACCACTCCCCGAGGCCGCCGCAGCTGCTCCTCTGCTCCCCGCCTCCTCCCCCGCGGCAGCTCATCACCAGGCACCCACTCCGCGTCGAGTCTGCCGCTGTGCGGGGCCTTCTGGGAAATGGAGTGCGAGGCTCCATGTAGGCTGCCGGTCTCCGCCCAATAAGGAACTACAACTCCCAGAACTCAACAGTGCTCAGGGTTTTGACTTGCTCTCCTTTTCCCGTCCCCTGTGTCTTTGGTGTTCTGGAGCCACCACTTCTGAAGACTCCTGGATAGTGTTCTTAAAAAGTCTGTCTGTGCTTTACGCTGTCTCCTTTAGTAGGCTATGTCTAGGCGCCAGTGACATTTCAGCCATTAATCCAAATTCAAAACTGCTTTTATTTAGCAAGAGGGAAAGGGGAAGGCGGTTGCTTGAAAAACTGGTTGCACTTGAACCCAACCTATTGCCGCCGGCGAAGGTTGGATGCTTGGGAGGAAGTAAATCCCCTGATGGAAAGATGTCATACTATGAAAAGCCTTTTCCCTTAGCCCGGCGGTGGTGGCGCACACCTTTAATCCCATCCCAGGCAGAGGCAAGCGAATCTCTTTGAGTTCAAGTCCAGCTCTGGTCTACAGAGCGAGTACTAGGACAGGCTGCAAAGCCACAGAGAAACCCTGTCTCGAAAAACCGAAAAAAGAAAAAAAAGAAAAGAAAAGCCTTTTCCCCTCCTCCCAACAACAGATGTTGTGTTGTGTTTTCACAGATAATATACTTCAGAAGTAACTGGTGAGTGACTTAGGGATATCTGTGCCCTTAATTCACCTACCTGCTTAGCAAGTTCTGTTGCTGTTTCTGTGAATTCAAGCGACTTATGACCCCTGAAGACTTTGCTACATTTGCATGAATTTACCTCTGAGAAACAAGGTATTTTAGTAATCTCAAGCTAGTTCTGCCACGTCCCTTAACACAAGAGGTGCCCTACACGGGGGGGAGGGGGGCGGGCATCAGCAGCGCTTTCCTCCTTGAGAATTAATTCAAGGCTTGCAAGATCTCCCGCAACTCATATTGTTCCCCACAAGACTTTTCCACAAATATCTGTTCCCTGTCTTCATGTCTCCACTCACATATAAAATTAAGGAATCTTTTGATTTGATAAATATATCCTACCCATTCCCAGATAACCTACTGTGTAAGCTGCCTTCCAACTAAGACGCAATATTGTGAATAAATGCATATGAAAGCATATTAAGGGTTTAGTTGCTTTGCACATGATTTAATATACAGTTCCTGTGAAGAAAGTGAGCTGAATGCAATACATTTAGAAATCAACTTATTCATTTTTAGTGGATGATCCAATTCACTTGCATAACAGAGCACATTTGATTACACTCTGGTTGAAAGGAACACATTTGAATAGATAGAGTCCAAAAGAAAGCATTCAAGGTTTTTACCTTCTCTTTCATTCACATATCACAAGCACTTTTGTTTGCCATGGACTTCTTTGAGGCACCAAGAATAGAGCCGTGAGCTAAAAACTGTACCTGAGCTCAAGATGCTCATATTGTAGAGAGAGATGCAGACAATAACATAAATAGGGATGTACAAGAACTGATCAAGGAAGACCTACCTGAGGAAGTGACATGGCCTGAGGCCTGAGTAGGAATTTAGCCATGGAGAGTCCTGCAAGAAGAGCTACTGGATAATAAGAGTAGCATGTGCAAGGACCAAATAAACCTGACCCTTCCTTCTGAACCCTGACAGTGTTTCTCAAGCCTGGATGTACATTTGAATCACCAAGAGAGACTTAAAAACCTACAAATGGCCATATATTACCACCACACTGAAAGAATTTCAGTCTCCAAGGCAGGGTCCTTTGGGCACATGTCAGAACTGTCCCAGAACTATTGAATCAAATTACTATGGTAATCTAAGCAAAAGGCTTGGATGTTGGATGAGGGCAGTCATCTCTGGTTTGGTGAAAAGTGGACATATATAAAACATACTTTGGAAGAAAATTGTTAGGATTAGTGGATGGATTGGATGTAAGGACTAAGAAAACAGAAATCTAAATTGACTTGAAAAGCCTGGATCAGTGGTGTATGTCAGTATTCTTAGCATTTGGAAGGTGGAGGCAAGAGGATCAGAAGGTCAAGGCCAGTCCTAGCTATCAGCGGGATCAAGGCTAGCTTGGGGTATATACCTGGAGACTCACACTTACTTATGAATGCCCAGCCTTAGCTTGGCTTTCTTCTAGCCAGCTTTTTGTAACTTAAATTATTCCATCTACTTTTTGCCTCTGGGCTTTTACTTTTGTCTATTCTATGTACCTCTCTTTCCTTCTTACTCCGTGGCTGGCTGTATGGCTGTGTGGCTGAGTGACTGAGTGGCTGGCCCCTAGTATCCTCCTCTCCTTTTTTTCTGGCTCCTCCCTTTATTAGACTGATGGGAGATGCCATTATGTATATATGTTTCTCATACTGGTTAATAATAAAGCACTGTTGGCCAATAGGAAAGGAAGATAGGAGGGACTAGGAGACAAGGAGGAAATAGGAAGTAGTAAGGAGGAGTCAAGATGGAGAGTCTGGAGAGAGCTGGATGCCAGCCGCCTCCCCGGTAAGAGAAGGCCATGTGAAAATACATAGATCAGCAGAAATGGGTTAATAATTAAGGCAGAGCTAGCCGATAAGAAACAAGTAACCGGGCCAACAGCATTGTATCAAATACAGAGTCTCCGTGCATTATTTGGGGCTGGCGTGGCGGCGGGACAAGACCAACGGCGGCCGGCAGGAAAAACTGAACTCCTTACATTAGACCAATCAGGTATTGCAGACAGGCAAAGTAACACAGCTTTGCAGAGATAAACAAATGCAACATAAAAGACTGCAACACATCTTTGCATCATTGAACAAATATCCCAAAGCATAAGAGTGGAACACATTTTCAACTAATATTCCACAACAACCATCTTGTGCCTATATATAATTAGGGATGCATATAGTTAAAAATCAGATGCATTGCATTATGGGAAAGAACATACATAGTAAGGGGAAATAAAGTTAAGTATCTGTCAATCAGAACAGAGAACCACCCCCTTTAGTAAATAAATATCTCTTGAATCATGTAAAAAGAAAGCCCCAAACAAGCCTCAGTCATGTGGCCACTTGACCAAGTATCCCTCTTTAATATATATTATCATTTTGCTTCAAAAAATTATTTTGCTATTTTGCAATCTGTGTGAACCCTTACTTTCAGTTCTCTGGACAAAAGACCAAGAACTTGGAAACAATAATGCACCCTCCACTTCACCCCACCCCCCAATATATTTGACTGGGCTTTGGTAAAGGTAGACTAGGTAAATAAGGTCCATTCTCTGGTTGGATACAATTAAACAAAAATAAAAACAAACAAACAAAAAAAATCAACCTCCCTCCCCCAAAACTCCTTGCCAATATCAAACAACCAATAAGATAAGGAGGAAGGAACAGTTGGGCCATGACTGGGAAGATGGTAAGAGGAGAAGCAGAGGAAGGTGGGGCTTGGAGGTGGAGGTAAACACACTGAGTGATGCTGCCCACCGTTGCTCATGTAGAGGACAAAGTAGCCCACCGTTGCTCATGTAGAGGACAAAGTAGACATCTGGGCTAGGGTGTTAGAGACTAGAGGGCACACAGGGCTGAGACAACAAATGGCAATAGCACCAAATATAAAGGCACCAAAGGAATAAAGGCACCAAAAATAAACCTGCAGCCTGGGTCGGCTTGTCTGATCCTGTGACCTCAAACATTCAAATTCTGAAATTGGATTAAACAAATCCTGGATTAGTGTAGCCCTGGGGCCTGGGAGATACACCCAAGGAGCAGTTAGGTTTCAAATTACTTCTACAAATAACTTCCACCATGATTTCCCTGCACATCCTCCAACCCTCTCTCTCTCTCTCTCTCTCTCTCTCTCTCTCTCTCTCTCTCTCTCTCTCTCTCTCTCTCTGTGTGTGTGTGTGTGTGTGTGTCTGTAAAGACAGGATATTATGTAGCAGTCATACGCTGGCTTTGAACTCTGGATCCTACTATTCTGCTCCTGAGTATTCCACCCAAAGTGCCCGTCCCAAAATGGCGGTACTGGTGACAATGTCCTCAACAGAAGGACTCTTACTGGGTAAGCAGAAGGTGTGTTACTGGGTAAACAGATGCCTAAGCTCAGTGTTTCTCAGGAGTCTTGTGAAGTGGGATTTGTTTCCCATGACCTTCCACAATCAACTACCCTCAGGGCATCAAGTTCCCAACGTGAGCCTGACAGCCCATATCAGCTCAAGGACCATGCCTGCTCTGATGACTGCTGTGTAAAATCTGCTCACTTTGCAGACATTTTTCTTCTCTCCGCCCTCTCCACTACCCCAGAGATAGCCTTGACAGTTGAATCCCTAATAAATCTTTCTTTCTACCCAAGGAGTAGTCTAGTTTTGTGGTTTTATTGCACCTTTGCTTACACTGACTACTGGGGTTTCAGGCATATGTCATCACATACAGCTTTAAACATTTTAAAAATGGTATATATACCATATGGGTATGAAGGTATATGCCTGTAATCTAGCACATGGGAAGGAGTCTGTCATCAACAATAGAACTTGAGGCTAGCCTAGGCTACATGAGACCCTGCCCTGACAAACAAACATACATATAAAATCAGGAATACTTTCCCCAGTTTGGATTTAAAAACTGCACATGTGCATTTAGACATGTCTGTTTATAAATGATCACACTTGTTACTTTACATTGTGAGATACAAAGACTAGGCAGAGATGCAATGAAGAGAAATAGAAAGTGTAACTGCCAGGTGTTTTATCTGCAGCACAGTGGCTGCACCTGGACCTAAGGCTGCCTCAGATGCTGGCTACACCTCCTTTGCCTCGTCACTGAGGCTGTGCCTGGTAAGCCTTCACCTGCTGCCATTGTCTCTGCTGCTGTCTCCATGTAGAGAGGCAAATGTTGTTTTTGACTAAGTCTCTATCACTTTATTTTACCAGTAATGCCTTGGGAGACAGATGCTAGGGTGTAAACCTGCTAGCTCAGAGAGG